ATTTAGGTTCTTTTTATGGGAAATTATTTCTTCTCTGATAAATCTATACTAACCGTTAAAACGTAACTAGGGGCGAACCCGAGAAGAGAGACGGGAGTCGCTAGCGAGTAAATATAAATGGAGATAGCTTACATCTTGAATTTGCCTTTTATAATTATAACATTACTATTGACTTCCCAACGCTATTTTATTACTAGCACCAGCCTTTGCCACTCCACACAACCAAAATGTTACATTCATATTAATAGTGTGATTAACATATTATGGCTTAATTATCCCTATATATTTTAATTGACCAACTTACCATAAAGGGAGGCGTGGGTGAAAACTATAAACCCATTATATTAAAAACATATAATTTTACAGCATAAATAGAACCTACTTATCGATATTATTGCTTAAGAATATTTATATGTAGCGTTCGTAGCGTATACTAAATCGAGCGATGTAAAGCACCGCACATTCCACCAGGTAACTCAAATATCTGAAGTATTTATAGTGAAGCTCTTGTTATCGTAGTCTAAGATGTTCTACGCCAGCCTTAAACGTTTAGCTTTGATAAAGCAATATGAATTTTATATGTGATATTTAAATGCTATAATGTTTTAATTTAATTTTTATCTATTAATCTGTTTTTGTTATTTATTTATGATAATACTAGCAACTCACTCTTGCTTCGCTCGGGTTCGTCCCTAATAAAAAATAAATGTATCTCATGGAAACCTATTTTTCCGGGATAAAAAGTAGCCTATGTATTATTCCAGACTATAATCTATCTCTGAGATAGATCTTGTTTAAACGTCGTCAGATTCAAATTATATCATCATCCGAGTCCAGTTTGTACATATTATCTATTTACGATTACCCACATTTTGTCCTCATATTTTATTAAATCTATACATATAATAAAATTGTAACTAATCCGAATCTGTACATAAAATATTTTTTGGAAAATCTTATTGAAATAGACATAATTATTGATACAGAGGCCGAATCTATAGTTTTTAGAATCTTTGTCTGTCTGTCTGTCTGTTACCGCATCACAGAAAAACCACTAGAGGTATTTCGATTAAATTTGGTATGATGATAGCTGGTTATTCGGGTCAACATATGGGATACTTTTTACCACGTTAAAGTATCTCATTTCTGAGAAAAAATGCAAAAACTGCATTGTAAGAGTATACTAATCTGTAAAACCTAAGAATTTGGTTTTTGGTCATCTGAACGCGGGCGGAGCCGCGGGCAATGCTAGTATTACATATAAATTTATTATCCTATTCAAAGCCCGACGGCTAACTAAAATTTATCACGAGGGCCACATAGAATGATATAACCTTAAAACAAAACCTACTAATAATCTCTCCACGACCGCGGACACACCGAGGTGTCAGTTAACAATAGATTTCTTAGAATTTTAATTAATTTCTTAGAAATTAGGTAAATTAGAGGTGCATAATAATGAATATAACTTGTATATTTCAATTGCCTTGCGGTTAACCGCGAGTTAACAAGATGTATGGATATAAAATTTTGTAAGATGGATTAAAAATTGACATATTGTGGATTAAAACTGTACTAAGGTATAGAACGAAGTTGTTTAGGATAGAAATGGTTTTGGTTGGAATGTTAATATTATAGAGCTGAAAAGTGAGATGTTTTATTTTTTTATGATTGATCGTGCCAATTCTAGTAAATAAGTAAAAAATAAATAAATAAAGAAAGTAAAAGTAAATAAAGTATATTTGTAATAGGAAGCCTGTAATAAAAAGCGTGAAAACAAACAAAGCGTGATCCACTATCACGCTTAACATGTTATTATAGATTTCACAGCATAATATGTTAACAATTTGTAATTTTATCACATAATAATGAATATAAAATGAACGGGGCTAAAGAAAACAACACACGCATACTGCGTGTTGTGTTTTACATAATGCAGCGTTTACAAACAGATGTACGAGTATTTCTTATCTCGAAGTAATCTATCTATACATATAATAAAATTGTAACTAAGCCGAATCTGTACAATAAATATTTTTTGGAAAATCTTATTGAAATTAACATTAATATCGATACAGAGGCCGAATATATAGTTTTAGAATTTTTGTCTGTCTGTCTGTCTGTCTGTTACCGCATCACAAAAAAACCACTGGAGGGATTCTTATGAAATTTATTATGGTGATAGCTGGTTATCCGGGTCAACATATAGGATATGATAGGACTTTTTACTGCGGGAAAATGTCTCATTTCTTAGAAAAAATAGAGAAACTGAACTGTAAGAGTATACTAATATGTTAAACCTAAGAATTTGGTTTTTGGTCATCCGAACGCGGGCGGAGCCGCGGGCAATGCTAGTTTATAACTATATAATTAAAAGCCATTTTCACTAAAGCAATGGGAACAGTTTGCGTATTTTGTATTTAAAATTTATATAGTAAAGTAGAGGCTGGATTATGTGTTAAGCTATGAAAAGTGACTAAAAATTGTGGTCAAGTGCGAGTTGCATAAATTGATTAGTATTAAACATGTGGATATATTACAGGGAATGGAAAATATTATTTTTTTTATTAAAAAAATATCTATAAATAAAAAATATTTTCGTATATCAACAAAAATATGTTTAATGATAAGCTTCACTCATAATTGACTACTATTATAAATACATAAGTTTTTATGTGTGTCTATATGTGTATACGTTTTTTACTTTTTCTGGGTACTGTGAGGCACTTAGAGAACCATAGCGAAGCGAGTGTAAGTCGCTAATTCTTCAAATAAATCGTTTAAAATAAAAAATCTTTCATCTTTTTTTATCATTGATATAATATGTCGGTAGATAAGTACTTGTATTTAGTTAAGTATTAGCGACTCACCCTCGCTTCGCTTGGGTTTGTCCCTAGGTAGTAGGTACGCTTTAGATAGATATAAATAGAACTAACAAACATAAACCATATAAAAAAAAATTCCTATATATTTTTTTTTATTGTGCTATTCGGGGTAGAGACAAATCCAACAAATCATTGATCATAGAAGCCGGTCCAGTGTCGTTCTTGAGTTATAAATGGTGTAAATGGTGTAACTAAGTATATATATTATATTATCTATTTAACTTTAATTTTCAACTTTTATTTATTTTTTGAAATTTTCCCTTTGCTTGTGCTGTAAGACTTTGCTTTTAACAAAAATTGACAATTCTAGGTCAACCGGAAGTACCCTATAAGTTTTGGGTCGAAAACCTATGTGGTAGTTCCCGTTGACCTATAATCACGAAATTTGGCAAAAACCAAGGTCTTACATCACAAATAAAGAAAAAAAACCCAAAAAATAAAAAAGTTGAAAATTAAAGTTAAATACTAATCATAATTAAATACTACTATAGATTTCCTACAATTTGTACGGAACCCTCGGTGGCCGAGTCCGACTCGCACTTGTCCGGAATTTTTGTCTTTTAAAAATACCAAAAGTTTTTAATTTGTCGAATAACATATTTTATACTAATTCTAACTAGAATACTATATGTATGTAAAACGTAATCAAATGAGTTCATTTGAAGCACTGTTTTATAAAATACAATAGCATGAGTCGCTTTGACTTGAAATTAAATAAAACTTGCTCAAAGGCGTATGACAAAAAATTTTTGCTTTTATTTTTTTGTTTGTGAATAATATTTTTAATACATGCTGTGACATCTCAATGTAATCAAGATCTATGAATTATACCAATTTCTATGCGAATTGGAAACTTTAAAATATTTGAAATAATATTGCTATAAAAATATTAAAAATAGTCTGTCGACTGTCTGTCTGTCTTTGAATTGGCACATTTAGTTTACAACTACGTAACTCAAACTCAATTAACGGAAACCAGATTAACGATGGTTTTCAATGATCTATCTACCTAAAGTTGTTCTTAACCGACTTTCAAAAAGGTGGAGGTACTCAATTCGTCGGAGTTTTTTTTTAGAGATAGAAATTTGACATAAGCTTTATAAAAACTGTCAAATTTTTATCGCTAGTAAACAAAACCATAGATAGATATCGATATATGTAAGTTATGAGAATCCATAGATAAGCATTTTTAAATTTTGACCTCATTTCCTCTTTCATTATTAATACAGTAGTGACCGCGTCCATTAATAAAATTTTGCTACAGGCTATCCCATGTTAAAAACACGAAATTAAAAGGCTGTCACACCGGTATTTTGTTACCTGTTCTTTTAGAAGGGTAATATTGGTTTGCCGAATACTTTTACATTTTTAATATTGAAAAGATTCACTATTGGTAATAGAATGCGATAGTCTGTACATGTAAGAAAGTTGTCATTAAGCTAAATCTGTACATTAAATATTTTTTGGAAAATCTTATTGAAATAGACATTATTATCGATAAAGAGGCCGAATCTATAGTTTTTAGAATTTTTGTCTGTCTGTAAACTCTTTAGTAGAGGTGGTCTTATGGTCAAGCCCTAATGGGATCATAGGTAGGTACTCCCACATGTGGGGACGACCACATAATATGTATGTAGTTTTAATTAAAAAAAATTTTAATTAAAATATTTTTTCATTTGTTTTAGCAATATGCAGTTTTAACACTAAAATTCGTTAATTCAAAAGTTTCTGTTATATAAGACAAAGTATATGATGTTGAAGAGGACGTCATGCTTTTATCCAAAACTAGAATTTCTCTTTTTAATAAATGATCCCGAATAACTTATGTAAAGCTATATATAACAATCATTATAATTTAAAGTTTGTACGTGTAAGTGTTTTTTTTTAAACTTCTTTACGCCAAAACGGCTGAATAAAATTTAATGAAATTTACCGATAAACTATACCTAAACTAAAGAAACACGTGGAGTAGTTTTATTCGCTTAAGGATCCATTTGAGCTTAGCGAGTATATTTCGTTATTTAGCATCATTTAATAAATTAAATGACTAAATTAAAAAATTTGAAGTTACTCTATCTAGATGCTGTATTATAAAATTATATCTTTATTTAACAGGTAAGATGGGTGATGCAGCAACGCGAGCTTCGGAGAGTGAAGCGGGAACACCGTCCCAGACACGTTTTACGACAGTCCATGCCTTCGTTTCCTGATCCATTATTTAAAGAGCAGTGGTATTTGGTAAGTTTGTTGTATGCACCCAAATTACTTATTCATTATGAATTTTGTACTGACAGTATAAAACGCACAAAGTGAAAACGCTACGCTAAAATATGTGTATATATATATATAATATGTATATATATGTATAAAATATGTATATATATAACATATGTAAGTAATTAGTGATAGTTTGAACGATATTTCAGTAAAAATATACTTATTCAAGATAATTCAGTTTTAGTTACTGAGCAGTAGGTTTTTTTGTCAAATTAAATAGATATTTACTCAGTCAAATTTTGTCATTTTTGGTTGAGGCTAAGAGACGTTAGAATTGACGAACCCACATATTCTTTACCCACATATTATTTTCAAATCTTACAATTAAATAGCATGCGCATAAAAATACGTTTCAATTAACGTCTATATGAGGTAAAAAGTGTGTTAAGTTTTTTTTTAACGCTATACATTCTGTATACAGTGTGTCAGTTTACACAAATTAGTTTGAGCGGTTATATTTTAAAATTTAGCAGTGTTAAAGAGAAATTAAAACTATGAAGTCGGTGTAGAGGAACGACTTACAAGAATCCTACTAATATTATAAATGCGAAAGTTTGTAGATGGAACAACACAACAAAAATACAAAACAACAAAAACGACTGAATGGATTTTAATGAAACTATACATCAGAATAGCACATACGCTACTTTTTATCCCGGAAAAATGTACGGTTCCCATGGGATAGATTTGTTTTTGTTTTTCTAGAGGCGAACCCGAGGAAACGCAGGTATAATTGTAATTCAACTATAGTTCACTAGCATTGTCCGCGGCTCCGCCCTTCAGATGACCAAAAACCAAATTCTTAGGTTTTACATATTAGTATACTCTTACACTGCAGTTTTTGTATTCTTTCTCAGAAATGAGACATTTTCCCGCGGTAAAAAGTATCCTATATGTTGACCTGGATAACCAGCTATCACCATACCAAATTTCATCAAAATTTCTGTGATGCGGTAAGAGACAGACAGACAGACAAAAATTCTAAAAACTATAGATTCGACCTCTGTATCGATCATAATGTTTATTTCAATAAGATTTTCCAAAAAATATTTAATGTACAGATTCAGATTAGTTACAATTTTATTATATGTATAGATTTATCTACTAAGTTGAATATAATGACACATTACGGATCCATTATACTACAAAATAGGGACAAAATGGAAAATTAATGTTGTTTTATTGACTGAATTGTTATTATCACATGATATCAGGAAATTGTAGTTTTATTATATCTACTATTAAACAGATTAGGTGCTTTAATCTATATATATTATAGTAAAATGATTCAAGGGTTAAATATGTATTACGTTATTTTGTCCAGTATAACAAAACTGTTTGGGAATTTAGTAAAATCTAAATTATCTGATATATATATATATATATATATATATATATATATACATATATATATATATATATATATATATATATATATTAAATAAAACTATTTTTTCGGATTTTTTCGCAGATTTCCGACGTTTTTTAAAGCCTTACAGCAATCTTACCTCTTTTAATTTTAAAATTTTTAATATTCAATTCAATTTTTTTAGTTTCGTTGCTAAGAATGCCATATCGATTCTATTTAAATTAAAAAAATTCTGAAAAGAGTCTTTTTAAATGTAAAATATTCACTTAAATCTAATAAAGTCGTATTATGTTATAATTAATTAATTATAGTTCGATGTGTATTAGATCACGCATTTCTTAAGGACAGCTAGATATATTTCAATGGTACTTTTTAACCGACTTCGAATAAAAATGAAATAATTTCGGGTTATAATAGTTTTTATTTACTCGAACAAGGATATTTACTTAAATTATGTACATAAATTACTTTGAACAGATCCCTCAGATTTTTATATATACTAATTAAAAAGCTAGGATTGTTGCTGAATTGTTCCATGAAAGACGGACTAATAATAATAAACATACAAAGAACTATAATAATTTAAAATTTTATTTAAAAAGAAATAAAAAAATAATTTGGTTGAGTATTTTTGCCAGTTTTTTTCAGGAATACAGCTTTAATTGTAAACAAATGGTGACCAAATGAACAATTCGTACGTGATATCTACGCCAATTACGAATCGAATTTCATGATTTTTTGATGAGGAATGTGATAAGGGTGGTTCAGATATCCATCTGAACTGAACTGACCTTTTTGCCTTTTGTATCATTTCCATCTTCAGGGGTGGAATACTTGTAATTAATTGCTTTTGAAGTAATTCTATATCTATGTGGTATTCAATTTAAATAATATTTATTTATTGTACATATAACTGTCTAAACTTAAGAGTTAATACTTAATGACCGCGTATTGAAAGCAGGTCATGCGTACGTAATGTAGGCTTCATACAAATAAAGGCGGATACATCCGCCACAAACAGTAGCCAGTATTAACAGAAGCTGTAGAGTGGAGATATCTATTAATAATATAAATCTTTAGAGCCTCCACACACTGCAGACTTTATCGGACAATTGTTTATTTAGCCCACTTTGTTTATTTACTAGCGACTCAACATCGCTTCGCTTGGGTTCGTCCCTAGATACGTTTTAACGGTTAGGTTAGGTTAGGTAGTATAGTATAGATAGACTATATATGTATTATACATAGGTATAGAAAAGTAGGTATGTAGGTACTTTAAAAAATAAAATAAAATATTATATCATTTACTTAGGAAATGATTCATACATATAATCTTCCTCTCAACTGTAACTCCTTTAAAAAATGATTTCCGGGATAAAAACATTTCATGTTCTAAAGTGGTCAATTTTACCTAAATCGGTACAGCAAGTTAAGCGTGTATAGGTAACAGACAGACAGAGTTAGTTTCGCATTTTTAGTAATTAATATTATTAGATATGCTAATTGTAAGTACATTTTATAATAGATAAATTAATCGACACGACTGGTTCTAGTTCAATTATAAATATAGGCATACGCAGAGTTTCTAAACTCTCAAAAAAAAGTCAGAAATCATTTTCACGAGCAAGACTAAGGTTTTAGACGTCTTAAAGTCATTATACATATAGTTGGTATAGACAGTGCCTACTCACAAAATTACAAAATTAATTAAAAAAAATACCTTAAAATATTTGTTCATTTTAATTTTAAATATTTTTATAACCGCGTAAATATAAGCAAGTATTGTGTGAATTTAAACCTAATGTACGATCAATAAATTAAATTTAGAAATTATAAATAAAATTTACATTAATATTTAAAGTAACAATATAACAGTCCATAATACGCGTAAAAGTATACTCTTATCAATTTTATCGACTGAATAGGACGTTGCAAGCATTCTATACTGATTATAAACCTGACAAAATTAGAGGTCGATACAAAGACAACAGTGTGCGAGAACTCCTAAACTAAGTAATGGATCGTGGATTAAATTACTCACTCACACTTAAATATGTATGCACATATTTATGTATATAGACGTAGTGCAATAAAGCGTCTGCAAATATATCCATACTAATATTATAAATGTGAAGAGTGTTTGTTTGTTTGTCTTTCTATTACGTCGAAATGGCTTGGCGGATTGGTGTGATTTTTTGTGTGGAGATAGTTGGGGGGCTGGAGAGTGACATAGGCTACTTTTTACCGCGGGAGATTATCTCACTCCCACAGGAAAACACGTTATAATACTTACAATCCAAAAGAATATTTATGATCAGAATTACTTGAAATTTGGCATTAATGCTCTTCAATACAATTAATTATATGTTTTAGCATTTTTCGAAATACATCCCATATGAGTGTAACATAGCGGATGAAAGTTTGTATAAAACCTAAAATTTTAAGAGTTTTTTTTTTGTAGTTTTAGCACGAGCGAAGCCGTGGGTTCTGCTAGTTGATTATAAAAAGTAAAGTTCTTAAAGGACTTTATCAGAAAGCCAAGATTAAAAGAACTAGTGTTCGCTCAATGGTTGAAATTCGACTTTAATCATCTTTTTTATTGATAACACTAAATCTCCTCAATACTAAACTAAAATAATAAATAGAAAATCAGTTGACAAGCAGAAGAGAAAAAAGTATTCTCTTTATCTATTCATATATAACTAGCGACTCACCCTCCTCGATCCGCTCGGGTTTGTCCATAGTTACGTTTCAACGTTTAGCTCAGAGATGAGATATTTTCCAGCAGTAAAAAATATCCTATATATTGACCCGGATAACCAGCTATCATTATACCAAATTTTATTAAAATCTGTGGTTCAGTAAAGTCATCATTAAAATCAGTGTTTTTTTTCGTGATGCAGTAACAGACAGACAAAACTAAAAAAAAACCAACTTTCAGGCACCAAAAAGTAAAAAATAACTAAACGGGTATTCCTTTAAAATAGTTACCTAATCAGATATTTTCGAATACATTTCAAAAAATACATACAGACGAACGTAGAACCTCCTCCTGTTTGGAAGTCGGTTAAATACCAATCGTTTATAGAAACTTACTTTCTTAAAAGTACATTCGAAGCCAAAAGACTAATAAAACAAGAAACCAATAAAATACTTACACAGTATAGCATAGTTAAATAAAAAATACCGTATCTCATTTCTTAGAGTAGGGCAATAAAACGATACAATCAGTGCTTGACTGTACATGATTTTAAGGCGAACGACCCTAAGCAGACAAAGAAATTAAAGCGGGTGGCATCTTGAAATAGAACGGATTCTTTAAACTGAACGCAGTAGTTGTAATATCGTAAAATATCTCTACTTCTGAGAAATAACTTTACAGTTAAGAAGAATAAAGAATTAATTTGTATAGAAGATTAATATATACAAGTTCTTTATACGTCTTATTTTCTTCTTTATAAAGTGAGTACGTGAGCTTGTTTATATGGGATAAAATTATTTTGAGGCAGTAAATACGAGTAAATTATGCAAATTACATTTTAGCAACTGGGTATAAATATAAATAATGACTATGATTAGACAACTACGACTTTTGGTACGTCTAAAACCTTTATTTCTCCAGACCATGTTTGAACAATTAATAATCAAAATAAAAAAAAATCCGAAAAAAATATTTTTATTGAAATATACTGGAATGAAAATATGAAGTATATAAGCAAAAATTGTGGCTACATAAAATTTTCCTCAATGAGCATCGAATCCACGACCTAAGCTTATACATTTTACAGTTTTAAACTGGTTCGACTAAAATGCTATATTGACACTCGTGCTGTAGCATTCTTCCATAATAATTTGTTTACTGCAGTAAGACTAGGGTGGGGGTAAACAGAGGGCAGCACAATAGTATAGGTGTTTGAACATCCAACAGTGACTGGCTTCAGACGAACTTCAGTACAAGGGCATTCTGAGTATATATGCTTTTACTTTGTATCTTATTTTTCAATATGATTTATTTTTCAATCCCCAAAAAGGATTTGTTGTACGAATTTGACATATTATGTACTCGTAGGTATACCTATTAGCGACTATCGCGTGTGCCCAACAGCTTATACATATATGTATTACTCCAGGCTATATCTGTGTTTAAAATTTCATCCAAATTGTTCCAGCCTTTTTTATCGTAAATGGTTAAAAAATATACATACATACATATATATAATGTATACAAATTTACGCATTTATAATATCCAATAATCCGATTTGTTTTAAGTATGTTCTTACTTTTATAATATGTAGTGTATTATATTCAACATGAAACTTCTAATTTTAATAAAATGTTTAAAATATTATATATTTTATTTAAGAAGTTTATATTTCAAGTTTTTCTTAGAATGCAAACAAATTCCAGCAGATTTAAGTTACTTCAAAAAAGACAATATTACGATGGATGATATTTTTGTGTGTGATGCGGTATCTTCATCAGTTTAGTTGTAAGGTTAAATTATACTTCAAGAGTTCACCCAAATTATTATTATATATACCTTTAAGTTAATTATGAAATCAATCTCCTTTCATAGGTAAAACGTACGTTATCAACACTTGTAGATTCCAAACAGCCCACAGCATCAGTGGCAGTGAAATAACATCTTTATTGTCATACTAATTAATTTTCTTGCTAATGAGACTGGTTTACAGAATGGAGGCGCCGCAGATGGCTTAGACATGAACGTTGGGACCGCATGGCGGAAAGGCTTTACGGGGAAGGGTGTTGTAATAACAATACTAGATGATGGTATCCAGCCTAACCACCCGGATCTGCTACAAAATTATGTAATTATATATTTTATTGAATACTTCAAATGTAGAAAAATATATATTTTTGTACGAGTGGCAATTTATCTTATTTTGCTATATAGTTATAAAACGGCTGACCCTATTGATACAGTAACTTTCTATTACTATTAACTGTATGACTAATATTATTTTTATTAGTCCGGCTATTGATTATAAGAAAAAAACATGTCGAAATTGTCACCAAATCATAAATAACATAAGGTAATATCACCTCACATATATCTTATCCCCATATATCTGGGTTTGAAATAAAAAAAGACCTAACGAGAAGACTAGCTTTCTCAACCTACGTTACCCAAGTCGGGTCTGTCACATAATCGAAAATTAAAACTTACAAATAATTAACAATCTTTTATCCTGCTCTAAATTAAAAAAAAACTATATATAGTAGGTGGAAAAATAACTATATATTAGTCACTATCTATATATATATATATATATATATATATATATATATGATTAATACTTTATATACTACTTTATATAATTTTTTTTTTGACTAAGTTTTCACTAATTGATAGTTAGAGCTAAAAAAATGAAATTATTATTGTTATTGATTGGCTTCAGGTATTTTATCAACAAAATGTTTATGTAAAGTAAATAGTTTTAATTTAATATATTATTAATATCTTTTAAAGTGTTTTGAAATTTCAAGTAAACAAAATGTAATGTGAACTTAAAATATTTATAAGCTTATACATTATGTTATAGCTCAAATTAAACTTTGACTTAAAATGTTCAAACAATTTAATGTACATATCTGTTTTAAAATGCAAGCACACATGCACTTATTTAAGCATAAACGGCTTTAACTTAAAAATTTGTTCTATCAAAGCTGAAAAGTTACAAAAATGACTCTTTAGCTTATTCCAGCATGAAAAGTTTAATAGTGTAATTTTCCTTACAAATTTGCTCTCGCTTCAGAAATAGAAGCCAATTTTATGGGATAGTTAGTTCGTTGGAACAGTACTAGCTTCTTCATTTATATAATGTTCATAGGGAGGGGTACTTCCCCCCTACTTACTTAAGTTTCATTGCTTTCTAGGGATTTCAGGATACATTTGTGGTTTCACTATCGATTTCGTCGCAATATAAGGCCATGGTTCTATTTACTGCTAACAATTGGAATTATTTATGTAGCATTAAGTAACCTTAATTTATGTTCAAAGTTCAACTACCACTTAACTGTGCTCTAGATTGTGGTTTTGTAATTTACTATACACGAATATTTACTAAGGAGTATACAGTTGTAATAAACTTTTACTTTCTGATAAGATTTTGAATTATATTTAGTACCGTACTACAATAGTTAGTTATTCTATATAGCTTGTAATATATTGTACTTTTATGTCTAGGATCCGGCAGCATCGACCGACATAAATGGAAACGACACAGATCCCACGCCACAGGACAATGGCGATAATAAACATGGCACGCGTTGTGCCGGCGAAGTCGCTGCGGTCGCCTACAACCGATATTGCGGCGTAGGCATTGCGTACAATGCTAGCATAGGGGGCGTAAGAATGTTAGACGGCCTAGTTAATGACGCGGTGGAAGCTAAAGCACTCGGATTCAACCCCCATCATATAGACATCTATAGCGCTTCCTGGGGACCCGAGGACGACGGGAAAACTGTCGACGGACCAGGCCCCTTAGCTAGAAGGTATTGTCTAAATACGATAAAAGAAATGGCTAGAGGCGAGCTCATTAAAAACGACTTTTTGTTTCAGGGCTTTTATAAATGGTGTCACAAATGGCAGAGGGGGAAAAGGTTCTATTTTTATATGGGCGTCGGGAAACGGCGGAAGGCATACTGATTCCTGTAATTGTGATGGTTATGCAAATAGCATATTTACGATATCAATATCTAGTGCTACGCAAGGAGGTTATAAGCCTTGGTATTTAGAAGAATGTTCCTCTACATTAGCATCGACTTATAGTTCGGGTACACCTGGTAGGGATAAAAGTGTAGCGACGGTTGACATGGATGTTCAATTACGGCCAGATCATATATGTACTGTGGACCATACAGGTACATCTGCCTCCGCACCATTAGCTGCAGGAATTTGTGCCCTCGCTTTAGAAGCGAACTCTTTATTAACTTGGAGAGATATGCAACATCTCATTGTTATGACATCGAGGTCACAACCTTTAGAAAAGGAAGAAGGTTGGATCGTTAACGGTGTGAAACGGAAAGTGAGTCATAAATTTGGTTACGGTCTAATGGACGCAGGTCAAATGGTCTCGCTCGCGGAACAGTGGGTAAACGTACCGCCACAACACATATGTAAGTCTCAAGAAATAAACGAGGACAGGTCGATTGAAACATCTTTCGGCTATACTATATCCGTTCATATGGACGTAAATGGCTGTAGTGGCACAATGAATGAGGTCAGGTTTTTGGAACATGTTCAATGTAAAATATCTCTGAGTTTTTTTCCGAGAGGTAATTTACGAATACTGCTTACGTCGCCTATGGGCACTACGTCCACCTTATTATTCGAAAGGACGCACGATGCGACTAGTTCAAACTTTGACGACTGGCCATTTTTAAGCGTACATTTTTGGGGCGAAAATGCCGAGGGTCGATGGACACTTCAAATAATAAACGCAGGAAATAATCACGTTACACAACTAGGCGTATTGAAAAAATGGCAGCTTATTTTCTACGGAACATCGACAAATCCTATGCGATTGAGAAATAAAAGTTATTTCAACTCTAATAACGTACCACAAGGAGAAAAAACCTATCACATTAACGATGTCTATGATGCGTCTGAATATTCGCAATTTCTCAACGAAATCGAACTTGGCATTTCAGACAGGCGAAACTATCCTAAAAATATTCCATCGGCTCAAAGAAAAAATGTATTAGCCGATGCTAATGATAAACAAGTACAGAGAATGTGCGATCCCGAATGCGATTCGCAAGGCTGTTACGGAAAGGGACCAACTCAATGTGTTGCGTGTAAACATTACCGTTTAGACAATTCGTGTGTATCTAGATGTCCTCCAAGAAGTTTTGTTAATCAAGGAGGCGTATGCTGGCCATGTCATGAATCATGTGAAACATGTGCTGGAGCGGGACAAGATTCTTGCCTTACGTGTGCCCCGGCACACTTACTCGTTATCGATTTGGCTGTGTGTCTACAGCAATGTCCCGACGGCTACTATGAGGATCAAGACGCCAATGCCTGTTTTCCCTGTGCTGAGCATTGTGATACATGCTCAGAAAAAGCAGATATGTGTTCTTCATGTGCACATAGCTATGTGTTATGTAATGGGTCCTGCTTAGCGACCTGTCCGTCGGGTACATACAGAAAAGATAATTTAGGTTGCATGCAGTGCCATGAATCATGTGAATCTTGCAGTGGATCGAGTGAAACGGAGTGTGTATCATGTCGAATTGGCAATTACGCGTTCAAGGGGCGCTGTGTATCCAAATGTCCCGCCGGGTATTATGCAGACATTCAAAAAAGAGAATGCATACCGTGAGTGTTACTCAGCTTTACGCTTGTTTTATCCACAACCATTACCATTTTTAAATGGAGGAATTTTATGTTGTTTTAGGTGCGCCATTGGATGTTCGATTTGCACATATGCAGTTTGTTCTGTTTGCAAAGAGAAATGGACGCTAACTAAAAGGGGTAATTGCCAACCAGATGGGAACCAGAAATGCGATACAAGTACGTTGTTTTTTATTATTCTTTATTTTGAAAATACAAATATTAAGAGCATTTAGTTGTGGAACTAAACACGTTATCATTAATTATTATATTTCTCATTATTATTTATGTATAATATTAAAATTAATTTAAAAGTAAGAAAATGTAGGAAACGTCCACATAGTTTTGGTACTTTGTTGTTATATTCCTTTATGTTTTACAAAAGAAAGTATGAAATGTCACACAAAGCCTCACAAAGCATTTTTACATGAGCGTCAACAACAGTTGAAAAATGTCAATTTAACAGATACCGAAGCTTTTACGTCGCGCCGTCACAATCCTTTGTTTAAAAAGTCTTTATTTACAGATGAATATTACGAGGGAGGGCGGTGTAAAAATTGTCATTCCACTTGTGAGAAATGTAGCGGACCAAATGAGTGGGACTGTTTATCTTGTTCAAGTCCGCTGTTATTGCAGGGATCGAGGTGAGGGCTCTTTATTAAGGCAGACCCTTATATACCCGTGTCGAGAATTCCGCTAACAAAAGTTTCGTTTTAGGTGCGTTGCGGAATGCGGACAAGGGTATTATCAGACGGCTGGAAGTTGCTCGCAATGCCCTCACACATGTACGAATTGTGTGTCAAGGTTGAACTGTACATCGTGTGCCGTTTCTTTACGCTTGCAATCTGGAACGTGTAGAGCTACATGCGCTTCCGGATACTATCCCGATGAAGGGATATGTTCTAAATGTTATTTATCTTGCGAAACCTGTACTGGTCCTAGAAGAGATCAATGTGCATCTTGTCCCGTGGAATGGAGATTGGCAGCAGGGGAATGTAGACCAGAATGTCCTCAAAACTTTTTTCCATGGGGGGACAGTTGTAGACGGTGTCATCATTATTGCCAGGACTGTCATGGTGCTGGTCCCCAAAGATGTACGTCATGTCCGCCACATTTTTCTCTAGAAAGTGGCTTATGCGTTGAGTGCCTTAGTTCTCAATATTATGAGCCTAGAACAAGGACATGTCGTCCGTGTCATGATTCTTGTAGGTCTTGCTCTGGACCTGGACCTACTAGTTGTGTAACTTGCGCTCATCCCTTACGACTAGATAGGTGAGTGAATGTAATATATTTTTTAGTACATATTCAACAATAAAAATCAATATTTACAAGCTGACGAACAAAGATAAAAAATATACATAATACATTTAAAATTACACATTAAACAAAATATTCCGCAAAATCCACTGTGATAAATTATGTCATTAATTATAGCAATACACGTACACTGAATATCAAAGGTCGTGACATTTATCTATATAGTGGACTCATATTCTCATATTAAGCTCGATTTTAACTTTGTCCTACCACTATAGTATTTAACTTTAATTGATCTTTTGATTTATGTTTACGGGCGTTTGTTGACGTTAAGTGGATAATTGTAAAGCTGTAAATAGCCACTTTAATATTTAAGTTCATTAAATGGCTTAATATTTCTATCATTATATTTATTATCTCTGTCTTTCCTTTGATATTATTTGGATTAACAATGTCCAAAGCTCTACAGTATAAAATTTCAGCAGCACTAATTTTAATGTTTTATTTTAGACTTTTTTTAATTAGAGCAGAATTAGCTTCTGTTTATGAATTATTTAGTTTTATGTTAAACCTAAAATAGATTTAGGTATCCTAAGGATTTTCTCTTAAAATTTGTATAATGTATGAATAAGGATATACTAAGAAGTCGATAAATATATATTAGCATTTATACGAGTATGTCTGTACGTTTAAGAATAATGATATTTTAATTCATATAATTTGAATGATAGTTTATTGTTGTAATAATTAAATATTTTATATTTAAATAGAAAGAAATCTATAATATTTGCACTAAAAAAGCAGAAAAGCACTTATTATAATCATCCTTAACCAGTATTTTAAATATCCTTCATATTATAATATTCTGTATTACTGAATGAAGGACATAATTTTTAAAATAGAATAAAACGATATCATAATTCCGACTGCATTATCATTTTTAACATTTTATATTGTTGACATATTTTCACAGTTTCTGATATTATTCGCTTTGAAGCGCAAATTAAAAATTCTTTTGCATTAACGTAAAAATGTTAGACGGAGTTTCGCTAAAGGTTTTTTCATTGCAGGGTGAATCATAAATGCCTGCCGTGTTGTACAGAGAGTATGGTTTCTGTCTACTTAAGTACGAACCAAACAAGTGATTGTTGCCACTGTGATAAGGATATGGGTAAGTTTTATTATATTTCATTTTTTACATGTTTTTTATGGTTTAAAAACCATGATTAAATTTTGTTAATATCAACTTGTTATTTTTAATTAAATATTTTTTACTAATCAATAAACAATTTTGAATTCCATTTCTTTCTTAATTACCTTACAATCAATTTTTTTAGAAAAAAATCTATTAATTTAACTCCAAAATCGATCGAAATCTAATAAAATATCGATAAATTCGAAAAAATAATAACATAAATATATTCTACAGCAAAAAAATATATATAAAAGCATTGGTATACTTTACGTGAATTCCAACTTTTATTATTTTTCACGACTCGTCAAATTGCAAAGTTGGAATGTTTACGGCGACATTGTATAAATTATAATAAGCGTCAAATTAAAAACTCAAGGATACCATTTTTTCATTTTTTTCCCGAAAAATACATTGGTGTAATCAGTTTATAAAAAATTGGTCCATAAAGTACACTTCTTCTATGATAATTGGAAAAAATGTAGTTTACAAAGTACAAATTATCGATTTCTCCAATTTTTTTAAAATTTGTAAGGGTGTTTTTACAAGTTTTTTTTTACAATGTTTTTATTTTTTCAAAAAGTAGAGCTTAAGATGAAAATAATGAGCCATATCTGAAAATTAAACAATCTATTTCCGCTTCTAAGAGCGGCAACGTGATGTTATTACTGAATGACTACCTATATATTCATCAATTTCATACTAATATGTAAAAAATGAACAATTTGTTTGTCTACACGTTTTAATCTCTGTTACTACGAGTTCAATTTGAAAAAATATTTTTACATTTTATATTGTCCATAAATAAAGACAGATACATGCTACTTCAACAAAAGAACCTAACATAAAATGGACTTTCACAAGGCGATTATCAGTATTACTGAAATCGACGACATTGTAAATAACTTTTGTTTTAGGTGGATGTCTTAACGGTTCATCAGCGGGCAAACGTCGTATAGCTGATAACATCGGAGCTAGAATGACAGCATCATTTTTTGTGAACCACGCGAAGGAATCGAGTAATCTCGACCGTGATTTATTAATCCTTCTGAGTGCCGGCGCAACCGTCGTAGTGATATGCGTCGTTATAGTATTCATACGAGTAAGTTGATAAAGTACAATCTATGCAAATAATAAAATTCTGAGTCGAATCTGTACATTAACTATATTTTTTTTAAAAATCTTATTGAAATAGTCATTATTATCGATACAGAGGCTGAATCTATAGTTTTTAGAATTTTTGTCTATCTGTCTGTTTGTCTGTGACCGCATCACGAGAAAACCATTGGACAGAGTTTAATGAAATTTGCTATGATGATACCTAGTTATCTGGGTCAACATATAGGATACTTTTTACTGTGGGAAAATATCTCATCTATAAGAAATCTATACTAAACGTTAAAACGAAACTAGGAACGATCCCAAGCAGCGCGAGGGTAAGTCGCTAGTAACTTAAATGAATGTAATAACTATTTGACTTTTTATGTTTGCTTGTAATCTAGTGTTTGACCGCGGCATCATCCTTGTGTTGTGATAATAAAAAATCCCCTATGATACCGTTAAAATTTGTTAACTTTTATCCTATAAATGGACAGGATATTACGGACAGGATTGAGGGATAAAAGGGGTATGTGTGGTGGTGTATGGGGTTTGTGGATATTAGTAAGTTCTGTTGGACATTTTATTGTTCGTTGAGACATTTTAATTATATTTTTTTAGCTTTTTTTCCTTGCAAAATTAAGGTCACTTTCACTTTTAAAATATCAGAATGGATTAACAAATCTTATTTTAATTACATTATTGAATTATACCTGCTATTCAAGTCTATACTTAATAAAATATCGTAAATCAGCGAGGCATAGTGGGCTATATGTTATGTTTTTTATAGGAATTCGACTAAATAGTTATAAAAAAACTCTATGTGAAAAAGCGGAAAAACGCCTAAAACTCCGGAGTATATTGATGATATGTTTGGCTCAGTTTGTAGTGACTCTACTTGCTGTGCCAGCGGTCGCAGGTTCGAGTCCCACTGGGGGCATTCATTCGTGTGATGAGCACGAATGATTGTACTCCAGTCATGGGTATTTATATTTATAATATGTATATATTTAAAGTTGTATATGTGTAGTGTATCAACTATCTGGTATCCAAAACACAAGCCTCGTAGCTTACCATGGAACTAGGTGGTGCTGTGTGTTAATGTCCCAACATATTTATTTATTTATTATATTTAAACAAGAAGGTCTCTAAGGGTTAGGTACAGAAATCGAGATATTGAGTAAAACCTAGTACGTATTACATGAAAATGAGGACAACGTAATATATTTATGAATAATTAATAATACTTATCAATTATTCAATTCAATTCTTAAAGGAAAGTGTATGTAATATTAGTAATTAACGTTTTAATAGATTTTCTACTTTAATTTTCACTATCGTATTATTAAACGTTATAATTTACTGTTAAATTAAAATTTTATTTGTAACAACGTGAACTGAAAATTGGTTATTTTAATTAAAGTTATTATTTATTATACATTATTATAAATGAGGTATTAATGTATGATATTGAAATATTCATTACTAGCGAGTAGCGACTCAACCTCGCTCCGCTCGGGTTCGTTCCTACGTTACGTTTTAACGTTTAGTGTAGATTTCTCAGAGATTAAATATTTTTCCGCAGTAAAAAGTATCCTATATGTTGACCCGGATAACCAGCTATCATTATACCAAATTTCATCAAAATACCTCTAGTGGTTTTACCGTGATGCGGTAACAGACAGACAGACAGACAAAAATCTAAAAACTATAGATTCTGCCTCTGTATCGATAATAATGTCTATTTCAATAAGATTTTCCAAAAAATATTTAAGGTACAGATTCGGCTTAGTTACAATTCTATTATAATAATGTATACCTAGATAATGTCTGAAATAAATTTTACAAACAACATTCATTTCGATTCAACATTTCCAAACAAATATGATAATTGTTTAATATTAAGCTTTATAAAAAAGCTACGAGGTCAAAATATAAATTGCATTACGTTTCAAATGTTAATCGTATCGAAGAATTTTTTGAATTTAGTCATTATATACTATACATAGTAGTTATATTGTGTATTCGTCACTCTAAAACAGACAGATTTTAGTGGGGTTTTCGTTATTTTATAAGTTATAATTTGATTTATGAACACGAGTACATAAACACCTACATGAAACGTAAAGCTAAGGTGTATATTTAGACTAATGTACCTTATATAGGACGTTTAAAATATTCATTTTTGAAACCATAAATATAAAAAACATTCCGTTTTTTCAGTAACTAACATTATTTTTTTCTTTCAGCTAAGATCAAAAAGACGCAAACATCTAACGCCATTCCCTAGAACTGTTTATTCGCAATTAACATCGATAGACGAAGATTATACTTCGGTGAGTTTATCTCACACTGCATTGAGGGTGAAACCCAACGAGGTCCGATCTCCGAACGTTCTATCAGAACCAACATAGCAATTTAAACTTTAAGTCAATACAGTTAGAATTAATTTACACTGCAGACTGATATGTAGATGTTTCTATAGGTTTTATTATGTACATAATAAAATATCGGTTTCAAAGGCCATAATTATTTTTCAATGGTGGGTCAAATCGACCAAATGTAAAATGGATAGTTAGATATTTCGCTTAATAAATTCGATCCTCATATAATTATGTATTTGTAAATCTTGATTAGTGTTTGGTATCCATCATTTTTATAAGAAAAAGTTTTCAAAAGTTCTTATGAAAATCTAAAATGAATGAGATATTTACACAAGTGTTACATGGAACTGATTTTTTGAGTTTCATAAACCTAACGAAATAAACAAAATTCATATATTTGTCAGTATGTCTTTCATATATTTTCTCTGAGTCTACACTATGGAAAAAGTTAAAAATTTGGTTCAAATAGTGTTCATATATTCATGTTTAGACAACTCACTAACTGACGTCTAACGTCAACAAATCGATTTTCATTTTGGGGATTAATTTAGCTATAACTGAAACTCGTAGTGTAAATTCATGCACGAGATATATTTTAGGCTTAATAGTTACCACATACCTACATAAAATTATTTTCATCTTATTTTAATATTAACTCGAACACCACCGAATATAGTGGAATTAGCAGATTCGATTCTTTGTTAGGTAATATTGTTATTGTTTAGATAGGTACTACTAAAAATGTTGGGTCGAATTGTGCGTCCTTACATTCTGTATAAAATAATTTGAAGATTGTGTTAATTTCCCATCTCTTTACTAGAGAAAAGTTTGGTCTTTTTCATATTCGATTTTATTTAAATATTATAAAATTTATTAATCATTTAAATGAGTTATAGTAATAAAAAAAAAACAACAATTTTTTTTCTTTTATATTATATTTTAATTATATTTAATAGCAATCATTCTGTATAACGTCAATTTGTAAAAAAATGTAATGTAAACTCACAGAAATTTTATTACTGAAACTGTGCTTATATAAAAAATTGTAATTTATGAAATATTTCATTATCTTTTTAATTATGTTCTGACTTGAACATAAAAGGGATATAAAAAGCTAATATTTTCAGAGGCCACGTAAAATTGTTTTGTAAAAGTAAGTACCAAAGATTGCGTTGTTTATGTTTATTTTAAAACTGCTTTCTTTCTAATTTCTTACATTGTTACGGTTATATGATCTCAATTTTATCTGTAGATTAAGGCTACATAAGTTTGTTTGGATATATTTTACTTTGAAAATTGTATCTGGTGTTTTATATTTACTACTACTGTTCGTGTTATAAGAAAAAAAATTAGAGCACTACAATATTTGTATATGAAAAGTACAGTGAACTGCAAATACAGGTCCATAAAAGCGTCTTTAATACAGAAATGAATAGTTTTTTATTAAATAAGTATCATATTAAACTGTAGGGATCCTTATAAAATATTTTTCAGTATTGTACTTAAATTGGTATAGACATTATATATACAAAAAAACTATAGGTCATCGCATTCAAAGCTAAATTAAATGAAAAAGCTGCAACTACTTGGTTAAGTACTGAAATTAAAAGCTCAAAAATATATGCCAATATCTGCAGTTGACTGTCCTTGTGTATGAAATTCGACGGATTGTGTCGCGGTGTATATAGAATAAATCCTTTATACTGCATTTAGTTGGCATTGTGTACATATGTAAATAATTACAGTGTAAATATATTGATGGTTTTTATGACGAGCATTCGTTTGTTTTATTTCACTCAATTTCTATTATATTATTTAACGTTTAACTCAAAAGAGTTTTTATATTATTTACTAAAGGTTTTGCAGAAATAGTTTTTATTAACACATATTAAATTTGAAATTAATTTCTTTTATTTTTACATATAAAGACATACTTAATTCGATTGTACACTGACAAATATATATTATATTTTTTTAAATTAAAAATGTATAAAAAGTAACTTCACCAGAACATGACAGATTTGGCTCAGTTTGTAGTGACCGTACTTACTGTGCCAACGGTCACGGGTTCGAGTCCCGCTGGGGGCATTCGTTTGTGTGATGAGCACGAATATTTGTACTTTAGGACTAGGGACGAACCCGAGCGAAGCGAGGGTGAGTCGCTAGTATATATATATATATATATATAGACACTTTTCAAGAGTTAGCAAAAATACAAAACAACCATTCCAACTTCAAAGATTGTACGTCATAAACAACGTAGAGTTTTGACAGGTGAGTCCTCGATCCGAGCAAATGGAGGGGAATGATAAATGAAGACTCCTGAGACCGAACTTTTGGTGACAGATGGCCGAACGGTAAACACTTGCAAATAACCAGTACCTACCTATTTATATTATACAAGATTGTTTACGCGGCTTCGCTCGTGAAGATTGTTTAAATGCTCTGCTCTAATGGAACATAGCTTAATAGTTCTTAATAGTTGGACTATAATTTAGCTTAAATATATGAAACTAAAAAGTATACGAAGAATTATATAAGTGCGTTCAAAGAAACTAAACAATAAGGAATCTCTTCAACTGTATAATCTAAATATTTATGATTAATTGTTTGTTTGTTGTACTATGGCACAGAAATCACATTTTTGGTTATTAACATTTTATAATAATAAAAGTTTGTCAAACACATTAAAATTACAGTCCATCCCACCAGTGGCTTATCAGTGTCACCCGTGTTTACCAGTGTAATGTTAAAATAACTAAATTATTTATTACTAGCGACACACCCTCGCTTGGCTCAGGTTTGTCCCTAGAATTACGTTATAAAATTTAGTATATATATATATATATATATATATATATATATATATATATATATATATCGGTCTCAGAGGTGAGAATTACGAATAACCAGCTATCATCATACCAAATGTCATCAAAATCTATCTAGTGGTTTTCTCGCGATGCGGTCTTAGACAGACAGATAGACAGACAAAAATTCTAAAAACTGTATCTATAATAATGACAATTTCAATAAGATTTAAAAAAAAATTAATGTACAGTTTCGATTTATTATATGTATAGATTATACTGAATCAGTGGGATAAAAAGTTTGAAGTGATTGATTTCCAGACTTTCAAATATATTCAAAAACTTTCGCATTTAAAATATAAGTAGCAGTGGAGTTCAACTTATTTATATCTCTATCTATCGCTCTCGCTTCGCTCTACTGTGTAGATCAGGTACCCATGGTTACTGCCTTGGTGGTGTAGTGGCTAGCATGTCAGTTGCAGGAAGGTTCGAGTCCTGGGGCTCAGCTTAAATACTGAGTTTCTCTGTTAAGATATTCTGAGTTGTAGCACGGAGTTAGGAAGTTAGTGGTGTTACAGCCCCGTGTCTCAAAGAACACGTTTGTTTTTTCCTGAGAATTTCTTGACAGAAATACTTCATGACTGAACTTGGCCCGACCCAGGGCTCGAGCCCAGGACGTCCGGATCTGTGGTACTAGACCACCGAGGCAGTTACTTAAATTTTAACTTAAAATTATAAAAAATAGATAATATTTTTTTAAGAATATGTGAAAAGTATTACGATATTATTGTATTCGTTTACTGTCTAGGTCTTCTTATTTCAAAAGAAAAAATTGTCACTTTTATAGAATCACAATCACACACGATTTTTTCCGAAGGTGCTGAAAAAAAAATTTAAAAATATATACACAGAGTTTGGTTATCCTTCACGGATAAGTAGCTTAAATAATTTTAATTTTGAAATTTAGTTATTGATTAGTAAGAACTATATTTTTAATAGAATTACGTATCATCAAATATTGAAAGATATTGAAAGATATACGAAGACACACAGAATTCCTTTAAACCTGTTTTTAATTTATATTTTAATTTGTTACTTATCGAAAAATATATATTTTTTATAAAGCATCTCATCATAATGGGGTGAATTCTAGTCTATAACCATTATTGCTCATAATTTACTTAGCTGTAACTTTCAATTGGCTAACTATCAAAAAAAAATCATTTTTCTCATTAACAACTTCCTTGGGGACGAATTTAAAATACTTTAATATCACTATCGAAATTTCATGAGCCCTTTATGTCCAATGGTTGTAATCAGCAAAGAAATAATTTAAAACTATACTATAGAGATTCATATAATTTCCTCAAAATAAAGACCCCTTTAAAAGCCTATAACAAACGTCTAAAAACGACATCAATTCTACGTATACAATTTTCCACTTCATACAGGTACCTACGAATAAAGCGTTTCCTGTATTATGGAATATGGCGTTTAATATTCATTACTGGATATAATAATATGGCACAGCACTTAAAAATGAGGGCATTAGCGGTGCGACAATAAAAACAGATTACTGCCGCTCCTGACAATAATACGTAACTCACGATACTCACTGTCGTACAGAATGTTTTATACAGTATGTAGAATTTTCGTATAATTATTATATTAAAAAGTTTCACTATATTAAAAAGAGCCACGAGCGCAGTGGCATTAAAGATTGCGACCTGTATAAGGCCATAACCCACCACGCTGGCCAAATGCGGGTTGGCAGAATACATATTATGCCTTTGGTAAATTGATGATGTTGAAAATGAATAGCACATGATAATATCAGAGGTACCCGTTATTTGAGCTGGCTTCGTGTGATTTTCCAAATTATATCATTGGGTTACCACTACCTGTAATCAACAAATATGTTTTATCAATATAATCAAAATTTGTAAATGCGTGTATGTTTGTTACTTCTTAACAGTGTAAAGGTTTAACAAATTTAAACAAAATTTAGATCAGAGATAGCTGTTATTTTTAAATTACCCTATTTTCATCGACATACATATATTTAACATGTAAACGGAATTGCGGGCTAGAACTAATATTAGATTTAAAAATTACAGTTACGTCATAAAATATTGTCATTTTTACGAGTTTAGCATTCGTGCCAGCCATAAATCCCTTACTCTCGACGAGATAAACACTGTCGCATCCGAAAATACA